AGGCGATACTGTTTAGTTTACTGTCTATAAACTATTTACGCCGGTTTACGGGGGTAGTCGTAAATAATCATAAACGTAAACAGTAAATAAACTAAATAGTTGGAGCCTTATTTTGCTTCTCAGAGCCTTCTCTACCCGAGTGGGAATAACGGTACGATCGCTACGTAGTAGGCGGGTACTGTATCGTCTCGAGCCTCGACTCTGAAATAATTATGTAACAGGAACTGTGAATGAAAGATTACTTCCTAGCCAGATCACAAACGTACCTCGTGTCTCTTAACTACATTGTATTCGCAGGGACATTAATCGGCCATTCGTAGTCCGGTACCCAGCGCCCCTCGTACGCATAGGCTAACTCCTCTCCAACTAGGGTCAGGAACGGCGGTGGGGTGCCGTTCGCGCATCCAGTCCATCGCAAGCTCCCTACGACTGCCTTCACAGTGCCGTCTTCATGCCTTTTGATCTTCCAATCCCATCGGACGGTATCATTCTCGTAGTCGCACACGCGGATGACCCAATCGAACTGTTCTAGGGCGGGGTTGAGCTGGCGCACCTCCCTTGCAACACAGGGGCAGTTGTAGGCCTCCCAGGCGAACATGAGGAGGTGGGGCAAGGAAGGGGCAAGGAAGGGGAGCTGTGGCGGAAGTAGCAGGAATTGTCCAGCCAACTAGGAATAGTCGAGCGGTTTGTAAGTCGGAGAGGGTGTTGAGGGCAAGGAAGATGAATGGCTCTATCCATACGATGACAACTTTGCGGAGGGTAGGATTCGCACTGGCAGAGACTAGTGCATCCACAGCGGATATATGGCTGACTGCTGCGACACACTCGAACGAAAGGAGGTAACGGGGTGATATCACAGGAGGAGCAGAGATAATTCAGGGGATGAGGTCGAATTGGATGTCTGTGCGAAGGGGATATCGCAGACGTCCAAAGCAGAGGGACCTATGTTTAAAACATAAGCAACGATGTTAATATTGAGGTACGAATATATTGAACATACTTTACATCCTTATCGTGCTCTCCTACCTCCTAAATCTTGTTCACAGCTGTCCGAGAGCGGTGTATGCTGTGGCTTCGGCAAGTGATGGACCCCAAAACCTAGCGGCTCCTTGTTGAAATTGAGTGGTAGTACAGATACCGCCAAACAAAGGGCCGTTCTATGTCGCGGAGGTGTTTATTGGTAAGCGAGAGGTTGTAGATAGGAGAGTATTTGATCCCGCCTACGGCCGGATACTTGGGTTGCTGCGCAATGAGATTCTTGACGATTTCGTAGAGGAGCTCGTTAGGTAGGTTCATTAGCTCCATGCGACGGAGCGCTGAGAGCTGTTTTGGCATATTCGAAGTGAGCATGAAAGGCGAAGTGAATGACTGGCTAGGAAAATTGCATTTTGTTTGCTGCGGTCGGGCTTGGTCCCACGCCACGCGATCATCGGCCACTCGTCACAGTAATGACATTACGGTCATATCACGCGTCACGTGTTTGTTTAAATTACCCCGCAAGACTTCACGCTACATACGCCATTTTGTCCCATTCACAAGATATCACAAAAATTCGTCGACACCTATTTCGTAGGGCTGACTATTCCTAGTAATATTACTAGATTAGTTCGTGATTTTACGTATCGGTTGGATCAGTATCTCGAGACGTACCCGTGGACATGCTCGCTGTTTCCATAAGCTTGGATATGCAATTTCACCCGCTGCGAAGTTATCGACATCATGTTCGCGATGGTATCAGCAGGGCTCTGCGACATGAAACGTCCGATGGTCTTGTACTCGAAGCGGAGCTTCAGAATTGGGTAGCGAGAAGCTAGCTCTGATACAGCACAGTCAAACGCATTCATGCCTTCGTGACAACAAAGTTGCCAGTTGCTGTTCTCCTCCAATGTGAAGACAAACGTGATCTCGAACGTTATGGCGCGTAGTTGAGGATTCATAGTCTGCGAGATTCGTGCTTCACTAAGGAAGCTAGCGATATTGCGGAGGGTGTCGATATTGGTATAGCGTGTGTGTGGATCGAGACGGAAGCCAATGTTGAGCTGGTGTAGCTTATTGCAACGGGAGATGTCGAGGACAGGTACCGTTGCATCTGTGAGAACACTCAGTCACTTCAGTGAACTAAGACAGTATCAGAAACTCACGAAAGAAGTTCGTTCTACTTAAGTCGTACTTGAGTTCCAACAAGTTCCCGCTAAAGGGGGAAAGGGCGTTTTGCAGAAGGTGTACCTCACGTGCCGAGAGATCGTGAGGCTTCAGCACAAGTCTGCGTAGATCGGGTAGTGTCACTGAACTCGTGAGAGAGTCGAGTAAGCAGCCGCGGTATGATTGTGTCATACACAAGGTAAGGGAGCGAACGCGTAGCGGTGATGATTGAGTGCTACGAAGAATCGGGTAGGATGAAGAGTGGTCAAATCCAACGCGGGCAATTTGCAGATCTTCCACTTCTCCGAAGAAGGTCAGTAGTTGGACCACTGCGTACTCGGAGTAAGTGGTGTATTGATTGCGGTCGCGCAGCTGGTAGAAGGGCGAGCTGAAGTCGATTGAGAGCTGTCGAAGGCGGATAGTCTTCCAGGATGCGCAGCTAGGCGTAGATGGAATAATGTCGGATAGATGTAGGACGCGTAGATTTGGCAAAAGGCCAAATAGAGCCACAAGTTCCGCCGACTCTACTCTGTCTTGTTCGTCAAAGCACAGATCGAGACGAGGGGTCGAGCCGAATGATGAGATCCGTCTGGCTGAAGGCAGCACGCGTAGGCGCAAGCGACGAATAGAGGTACGAGCAACTTCATCGCTACGCAAAAATTGGCAGAACAGACGAAGTGTTTTGTACCGCGCCTCGCAAACGCTTCCCATTGAGAAGCGCCTGTATACGTCATGTTCGCACGTCAGTGCCTCATGCGACGCTTCGTCGTCCGCAGGGACTCTTCGGAAAGAGTAGACGACGTCCTCGAAGAGATGACGCCGGGTTACGGCATTCCACCTTCTTGAAACGAGAGAGCAAGCGGCTAGGTTCAGTTTGTTCCTAGCGGTATTGGGCCAAGAAACGAGCCACTGCTCGGGGTGAAGGTGGCCCAGGATAATGTCCATGAGCTCGACTGGGAGACAATCGGACATGTTTACCTATGGCCGCCGAGTCAACATAGATGCTCATATTGCGTAAAATCACTTACTACTTTGGAGAGCACCGGAGACAGGGATGGGGGTCGGGAAGGAAAGGAAAGGTAGTGGGAGGTTTGACGTGGCTTGGGGGCTAAGAGGGATGAATCGGTTGCCGCCTGTCTCCGACAGCGCTACTTCCATTCACGCAGTAGAGAAATTGGCGACACCGATTACACCGGGTTCGTGGCACTTTGGATACATTCGTACGTCAGACCATGTCATGAAATCAGGTTATATTCGATCGGGTATATATCCTAGGGTCCTGGATACGGAGGGTTATTGCGTCGTATCATTGCTCCGGAAACAGAGCCCCGAACACCTGGACACGTAGATCAACACAACAGCGGTATGTGTCAAGTCGTGTACGTACTTCATCAACGATTGTGTACAACAAGTGTTGGTTTAGTCGCCTATTTTGAAGAACGGCAAATAGTCGCCTTGCCCCTCTCCTAGCATTAGAGCGTCCTATCATATTAGCACCCAAGTCTAGCCGACGGTAAGCATCGTGAAATGTATTGACTGCTGTGGATGGCCTCTTACCTGGTATCAAGGCCGACAGTTTTCGATTGGCGTCGTCACGTGCCCGTAGCTTTTCCTCTGCCGAACGAGGCTGTCCACTAGGCTTCAACTGACCTCCATTCCACATGGAGGCATGGAAGATGTCGATGTAAGACAGGACGTGCGACTCATCAAAAAACGCCTTCGCCGTCTCACGTAATTTCCTGTAATAGTGTCAGCCATGGGCAACGTGATGTAAGGCTGCATGCGAACCGCTCGATGGTCTGGCCGAAGACTTGCTGTAGGATTATGACTATAGCTTGTCTTCGAAGCCAGTTGTTTTTCTTGTTGAGCTCGAAGACTGCTAGGACGAGGTCGCAAATGGGAGACGAAAATGATGACATGCTAGTTTCTCCTTCCAGTGGCTTGAGATCGCCAGGAAGTTGCATTAGGCTGTCCTCCGAGGATGCCTGCGATGATGCTCGGAGAGCCTGAGCGACGAGGTCTTCATCATGCACTCCACTTCCGACAATGCCCACAAATTCGGCTGCCTGCGTGGTAAGTCGTTGAATGATGACGTCCAGCATGGATGGGCCGAAGAACATGTCGTCGATACTATCTGCCACCGACTTGTACATAGAGCGCATGAAGCTTTTCCCCTGGGGTGCGGGGCCTGCCTGATTAGATGGAGCTTTATCTTCAGGAGGGGGTAGCGCGGCCATGAATGGTGAGTCTCGTGATAGGAAGACGCGTAGCTCAGCACTCTCGCACACAGCTGGGATGGCAATAAGACTCTGCAACTATGTGTTAGTGCTAGGAAAAATGCAGTTCTAGTTGAACGCACCTGCATGTACTTCTCGAGGGCAGTCCTTCTGGAGTCTACAAAACTGTTGGAAAGGGAGGTAACGAGACGCTTCCCAGGGAAGTCCAAGGATCGTACAAGCGCATATCGTTCCCGAAGTTTGGTGTGCATGTTGAAGAATTCGTTATACC